ACTTGCTTCAATGGGGCTTTGGTGCTCACTGAGTCTGACCCCTGAGTATGTCTTTTATGGTTCCACGGAGCTGCAAACTGGATGGTCCCACTCTGAACTCTGGGCTTCCTGGCTCCTGGATCTCTAGGGAGGTGCTAATCTAGCATTTGCTTGCAGCTATCCAGCAAGAGCCTCCGTGCAGGGCTTGGGCGGGGCAGGTCCCATGGGATCAACAGGTTGGGGCAAGCAATTATGGCTGCTCTCAGTCTTGCCCTCAGAGGCACTGCTTCTCAGTGTCCCGGTAATCACTGCAAGACCCTCGGAGAGAAAGCTGCCCTTGGGTTCTCACCGAGGACAGACAGTCCAGCTTCTCCCTTATCAGTCTGGGTCCCTAGAGACTCACACAGAACTGGAGCTCAGAGCCTGAGACTTCCTCCCGATTGAAAACGACAACTGCGCCCTCAGCCGCCAGCCTGCTCCGCATGCACTCCACACCTTAGTATTTTACTTCCACACTGCGCCTCCACTGAGTCTTGGTATGCTTTTCTCTTTCCTTGTATTTGTAGAATTTCCACTCAGCCAGCCTTCCTGTGGTTCTAGATGAAGTCCTTTCCGTCTTTTAGTTGTATTTTTGAAGTGGTTGTTCGAGGCAGCAAACTCCGGTGTTTACCTATGCCGCCATCTTGGTTCTCAACAAAATGATTTCTAAAAGGATTATGACAATTTTACTTCATTATTAGTAATATATAAGAGAATAAATTTCACTATGCTAGTGTCAAATTTTGCATTATTATTTTTTAAAGTATTTTTCTAGTTGTAACATAAATATCTGCCTTTGTGTCTCTGCTTATGCAACTGCTCATATCCTTTCTTCTCTACTCACACTGTAGGTTTCAAGTCAGGTATCTGCCTCCAAGATGCCTGCCATGATCAAATCAGGATGTTTTCACAGGAGTAGTTTGAGGGAATTGTTTTAATGCTACAATTTTGATAAATCATCCACAAAATAATTCTGGCAAAATGTAAATTGTCTGTTTGGGTTTTCATCAGCCAATGTGTAATGTGCCTAAGAGACACCCAAGTCCTAACTATCCCTGACTCTTCATTCTTCTTTCTCTTCCATAAACATCTCTGACTGAACTGTAAATAATCCCCAATTTTTAATGCATTTTGAACCTCAACCCACCTTTGACTCAATAAGAGACTGAACAGGTTTTTGAAAGATAACTTCAAGATAGATGCTCAATGAACACCTATAAAGCACTTCAAAGATCAGCTTCTTCATGAATAATGAGGTGCACAGAAATTGCAAAAAAAATGCTCAGAAAAGAATTCTAAAGGAAAATTGATAATTATAGAGATAGAGCATAAACTCAAATTAGTGGACAATTAAAATGTATTTAGTTAGTTCTGGGCCACTTAAAATAAATTATTCACAGCCCTTAAAAAAGAAATGTAGCATATTATTTTATCTAGGATAATGTTTCCACCTACTAGTGATGGCACAACTGCATTCCATAGCAACTCATTTGGGTCAGCATTTTCTGGATCGTATACCCATATCTTGATAATCTACAAAACAAAATGTTTGCATTTCTTTAATTTTGGACAAATTTCATTTTTAGTTGTAGCAAAACATAACCATAAAAATGTTTATATATTTTAAAAACTTTGATTATCTCATATTTTTTAAAAAAATCAAAGCATTATGTGTTGTTTTTAAGTAAGTGAAACAACTCAAAGACATACGAAGGAAGCGTTAATAATATTCCTCTAAACACCTGAGGTAATTTTAAAACTTCATAGGAATGCTTATCTATCTTTCTCTGAACTCACAAATAGACACAGCGCCCCCCACCCCACACTCACACACATTTTACAAAGATGAAGTCACACTACACAGGTTATTTGTAGCTTGCTTTTGCCACTTGATATACCATGGCCACCTCACTAGCTGTAGGTCTAATTCTTTCCTTTCTTGTTTATAAATTTAGCACCATATGGGGAGAATGGTTTCAGCTCCTCCCTCTCCCACGGGTTGGAATCTTCACTTTCCAGCTGCAGAAACATCACCCCAGTCTACTAGGGATTATATTGTGTCTAATACCCTTAGCTCAGAATTCAAGCTTATATCTTTGGCTTTTAATTCTTTAATTATTTCTGACCAACAGAAAACTACTTGTTTTTAAATTCTATACACACACACGTACCTGTATGAATGTAAAAGGCGGTACTAGCATTATGTAAACGTATTTTCTTTTTTAAAAAAATGTTTTTATTGATTTCAGAAAGAGGAAGGAAAAGGGAGAGAAACATCAATGATGAGAGAGGATCATTGATTGGCTGCCTTCCGCATGCCCCCTTACTGGGAATCGAACCATGATCTCCTGGTTCATGGGTTTACGGTCAACCACTGAGCGACACTGGCTGGGCCAGACATATTATTTTCTAAAAGGCATTTCTGTGTGTTTTGAGTGAGGTGGAGGTTATTCTGCATTATTTTGGCGTGTAATATGTATTCTACTTCTTTCTATTTTCTATATTTAAATTCCTTATTCACAAATAATACTCTCTCTTGGTTTTTCATGCAAGAGTTATAACCATAATAAAACATTGCATGATGTGAATTGGATTTCGGACAGGAATATAAACAGACACATTCAACCATCTGGATGCGATATAGGAAGCTTATTTATTATTATTATTTTTACTGCATCTTTTTCTAGTAAATCACTGCTTTTAGAAAATTAAAATATCTATACTGCTTTAACTTCCAAATATTATCACCTGATTTCAATTTAAAAATTTTGACCATATCTATCATATATAATCATCCTCTCATCCATATGTTAAAGACCTTTGAACTCAAGACATTTATTGTCTTAAAAATTATTGAGCATTCCATAAAGCTTTTGTCTTATGTGGGTTATGTTTATCAATATGTATGATATAACAAATTAAAAATATTTATTAATTTGTTTTAAAATTAAGATAAACATATTTACATGTTAACATAACCAACATGTTCTTATGAAAAAATAACTATTTTCCAAACAAAAAAATAGTAAGAAGAATGGTTGTTTTACATTACAAAATCTTTTTAATATCTTCCTTCATAGAATAGCTGGATTTTCCTCTATATTCCTGCATCAAGCTGCTTATGTGTTGTTCTGGTGGAAGCATATTGGGAGACTCTGTCCTCATGCAGATATGAAGTTGGAAAAGGGTAGACCTCCTGAGAAGGCCTGCGCCCTAAGGATCCTCAAACCATCCCTAGTACAATGCTCTACGCACATTTTGTTGAAAAATTAGTTTGGAAAATTCCTCTTCTGGTAATTATGGAAGATAAGAGAGGAATAACATAGTAGTGACATATGAAGGATGTATAAAATTTAAAAAAGAAAACTTACCTGGGTTAAATTCTGATGGAAAGGACTGTTGGGAAAAAGAGGAATCATATGTTAGTAAACAGCATGCTAAATATTAGTTTGAATACTTTACTTTCAATATACATAACTAAATCTTAGAATATTCCCTTTATATCCCAATAGAGATAAATTATTATGAGCTAAATGTAATAAAAGCCACATCTGGCTGTGGCTGAGTAGCTCAGTTGGTTAGAGTGTCATCCTGATACGCCAAAGTTGTGGGTTTGATTTCTGCTCAAGGGCACATCCAAGAAACAACCCATAGACACAGACAATAGTGTGTGATGGCCAGAGGGAAGGGTGGGAGCTGGGTGGAGGTAGGCAAAAGGGAGGGAAATGGGGAAATCTTTAATAGGTCAATAATATAAAGTAAAAAAAAAAAAATCAACCAATAAATGCATAAATAAGTGGAATAACAAATCAAAGTTTCTCTCCCCCCCCAAAAAAAAACTACATATGTCTAAAATTAAATATAATTATGACTCTCATGTGTCTTCACAAAGGCTGAAGGGCCTGAATATGCATTCTTCCTTAACAACAGTGCACATTCCCACAGCCAAGATGCATAACTAATCTTTTTTTAAAATCTTACATCATCATTTCACATCTGCAGCAACAGAAAAGCTCAACAGAGCCAAAGGATGGTTCTCTGAAAAGGCTAATGAGATAGCAATACCCCTAGGAAGAAGAACAAGGAAACAGAAGGGAGACACAAATAAAAATGATACAAAGGTAAGTCATAAATCACTGCACCGATCTCAGAGGTTAAACAAAAATAAGAGGATATTATAGACAACTTTATGACATTGAAATTGCTAACTGAAGACACGGTAAATTTCCAGAAAAATACTACTTGTGAAAATGGACTTTACAAGAATAAAAATTGCAAACTAGCACACTAGCCATTAAATTAGGAAATGTTCCACATCCTCTCCCCAGAAAAAGAATCCAGATTCAAGTGGATTTCTATGCAAGTTTCCATCAACTACTCAAGGACTATACATTTCCTATTTTATACAAAATCTCTTAGAGGAAAGAAAAAAAAATGACTAATAACTTAAGTGATGAGTCCAGCATAGTCTTGGTACCAAAAGTAGAAAAGGATGGTATGAGGTGAGAAAAATCACAGGCCAACCCTCAACCCCACTCCTGAATATTCTCTCTCACACACACACACACACACAACTAAACAAAATATTAGCAAACATGGGAGTATAGAATCTTCTATTACCATCTTGATGTTTTCTACATTAAACCCTGTCTTTAAATATATTAAAAAATATTAGCAAACAAAATCTGTCAATATATGAAAGAGAATTCATCAATACTAAATTGGATTATTCTAGAAATACAGGGTCAGTTTAAAATAGAAGCCCTAACCGGTTTGGCTCAGTGGACAGAGCATCAGCCTGCAGACTCAAGGGTCCCAGATTCAATTCCGATCAAGGGCATGTACCTTGGTTGCGGGCACATCCCCAGTAGGGAGTGTGCAGGAGGCAGCTGATAGATGTTTCTCTCTCATCAATGTTTCTAACTCTCTACCCCTCTCCCTTAATATTAGTGACTATTATTCCCCCAATAAACATAGTAAAGGAGAAAAGCCATATTAACTTTTCAGTGGAAACAAAAAAGTTTATTTATTTATTTATTTTTTTGGTTGACATGTTAATTCAAAAAAAACTTTAAATAAATTTCAACGCCAATTCATAAGAAAAATTCACCGCTAACTGGAATAAAAGGAAATTTCCTTAACTTGTAACCTGTAACAAATATTATACAAAATAATGAAATGATGACAGCCTCCCTTTAACATCAGAAATAAAACAAGGAGGCCTGCTATATAATCCTTCTAGATACACTGTGTGCCAGCCATGCAGTATAGAATAAAAGGAATAAAAGACATACTTGTTGGGAAAAAATATTTTTAGGCTATGTGATTTATAAAAATTCCAAGAGAATATATAAGTAAATTATTAGAATATAGAATACTATAAGGTTGCTGGATATCAAAATCAACATTCAAAAGTAAACTGCATTATATACAACAAGAAGTTCTGGTTAGAAAATGCAATTTAAAAAACTTGACTATAATAGCAATAAAAATATAAAGTACCTAGAAATAAGTCTGATAAAAGTGTCCACCCCTAGACAGTTTGGCTTGGTGGATAGAGCATCGGCCTGTGGACTGAAGGGAGGGTCCCGGGTTCGATTTCTGTCAAGGGCACATGCCCAGGTTGTGTGCTTGGTCCCCAGTAGGAGGTGTGGAGGAGGCGGGAGATCAATGACTCTCTCTCATCATTGATGTTTCTATCTGTCTCTCCCTCCCCTTTCCTCTCTGAAATTAATAAAAAAAATACATTTTTTAAAAGATGTCCAGGCATCCATATGAAAAAATTACGAAACTTTATTGGTAGACATGTAAAAGAATCTAAATACATGGAGGGTTATATATTACTAGTGGCCCGGTGCATGAATTCGTGCACATTGAAAGGAAATTGATTAGAAGAAATATTTTAATATTGCTATTTGCCCTTTCTCTATAAGTGTCAACCAAATTCACCATCGACAATGACAGATGGAAACACATGCGTGCGATTGACGCCAGCGAGAGCTTTATATGCATCGCGCATGTGTGAGCCAACTTAGCCTTTTATAAACATAGAATAAACTTGCCTAGTTAAACCTGCTTTCTGATTTAGCTAAACTTTTTCCAGCCCAGTGAGGCACCCCAACTTCTCTTTCAGGTAATTGTCAGCAACACAGCAGTAACTATCAACACGAAGCAGATTATTATTGTAGATCATGCAGGGAGAACAAAGGGTAAAGTATTTAACTGCAGCAGTGTTTGACTATATTCTGCGCAGTCAGAAAACCTGAAGTTATTTTCAAGGTCCACCATTTCTTACTTCTTTTCAGTCGGGTCAAGTTTCTAAGCTTTCTAAATCTCCATTTTCCGGCTAATGAAAAGAAAATAGGATTCCACCGAGTCTCCTATCTACCTACTCCAGGACTTCTGTGAGGATCAAATGAGATGAGGCACGGGAACATGCTTCACAGACATTCGGTTAAAGTGTAAAGTGTTTCCACCTGTGTTCCTGGGCTGAAGAAACTGCAAGGGGATAGTTATCGCTAGGGAGAGGAAGCGGGGCATTGCTATGTGATGTCATTACCAGGCACCCACAGCGACCCTTTCTGGGTTGGGCGGGGCTGTCGGCTGCATTTTGCACCATGGGGTCTTGTCAGAGTTGGCTGCGATTTGGTGGGCTGTGGCTCCGGGGTAGTGGCGGGGCCTGTGTCCCACTTGGGGGAAGCCGAGTGTTGCTTTGTGGGCACCAAGTGTGCAGTGCCATTTCTCTGTGTGTGTCATGGCAGCTCCTGCACTGAGTGTCTGCCCCTTGGTGGTCAGTGCGTGTCATAGCGACCAGTAGGAAGATGGGAAGGACACTTAGCATATTAGCCTTTTATATAGATAGACTAGAGGCCTGGTGCACAAAATTTGTGCACAGGGGTGGGGTCCCTCAGCCCGGCCTGCACCCTCTCCAATCTGGGACCCCTTGGGGGATGTCCGACTGCCAGTTTAGGCCCGATCTGTGGGGGTCAGACATCCCTCCTGCAATCTGGGACCGCTGGCTCCTAATCACTCACCTGCCTGCCTGGCTGATCACCCCTAACTGTTCCTCTGCCTTCCTGATCACCCCTAACCACCTCTTCCTTGGCCCCCGCACATGGGACCCAGGATTCCCTCCTCAGGCCAGCTGCAGGAACCCAGGACCTGGGCTTCCCTCTCTCTGGCCGGCCGGAGCAAACAGGACCCAGAGTTTCCTCCCTCTGGCCGGCCACAGGCATCCAGGACTGGGCTGGCCTCGGTCAGGCCGGCCACAGGCACCTGGGACCACAGGCAGCTTTGCCTGAGCTGGAAGCAGGCACCTGGAACCCCTGATCACCCCTAACTGCTCCCCTGCTTACCTGCTCACCCCTAACTGCTCCCCTGCCAGCCTGATCGCCCCTAAGCACCTCTGCCTCAGCCCTTGCACCTGGGACCTGCGGCCTAGTCTGGAAGGACGTCTGGTCTAATTAGCATATTACCCTTTTATTAGTATAGATTCTTGAGTAGAAAGACTTTCCAATTTGATTAAAATATTTAGAGAAATTATAAAAATTCCTACCAGGGTTTCTGTGGAATTTGACAAATCAGTTCTAAAAATGTATAGGGAGGAAAACGAGGCCCAAGACATAGCTAAGGGACTTCTGAAGAAGCCTAAGAGCTGGGGTTGGAGTGGGATGGATACTGGAGCTACCACTTATGAAGGACAGCTGGACTGGAAAGACATCCATGCAGAATGGAAAACTGACCTATGACAAAGCAGGCATTATAGGTAAATATATTATTCAATAAATGGCTATGAAAAATTAATTATTCATCCAGAAAAATAAAATTGGATCCCTGTCTTGAAGCATGTACAAGAACTACTTCTAGGTGGATTAAGGACTTAATTCTGGAAGGCAAAAATGTATTGAACATTTACTTATTATTATTTTTATTTAAAAAATATTTTTATTTATTTTAGAGAGAGAGGAAGGGAGAGAGAGAGAGAAATATTGATGTGAGACAGAAACATTGCTTGATTGTCTCCTGAATGCACCCGCAATCAGGGATTGAACTTGAAACCTGGGTATGTGCCTGACCGGGATTGAACCTGTGACCGTTTGGTGCACGGGACAATGCCCAACAAATGGAGCCACATCAGCCAGGGCTGTATTGAGCTTTTAGAAAAAAATATAGGAGAAAAATATTTTTATGAACTTGCAGGTAGGAAAAGATTTCTTAGACTAAAAAGGGATAAACCCATAAAGGAGTTTATTAATTAATCTACCATAGTAGGGACACTGCTATCAATAGAGATCATAAAAAGTGAAAAGTTGCCCTAGCCGGTTTGGCTCAGTGGACAGAGTGTCGACCTGCGGACTAAAGGGTCGCAGGTTCGATTCCGGTCAAGGGCACATGCCCTGGTTGCGGGCTCCATCCCCAGTGGGGAGCATGCAGGAGGCAGCCAATCAATGATTCTCTCTCATCATTGATGTTTCTATCTCTCTCTCCCTCTCCCTTCCTCTCTGAAATTAATAAAAATATATTTTTTTAAAAAAGTGGAAAGCTGCATAAAGTGGGATAAAATAATTTTTAAAATATATGATAATGTCCTAGTAATTAAAATATAATGAAACTATTTTATGAAGTATAAAAACAACTCAAAAATGGGTAAAAAGGCTCATGTAATAGAGAGAGAAGAAAATTCCTCATGAATACATGAAAACATGCTCAACAGTAATCAGGAAAGTGTAAATAAAAAGCACAATGACATAATTTCACACCTACTAAATTGGAAAAAGTAAAAAATCAGATAATATTAAGTGTTCATTAGGATATAGAACAATTGGAACTTTTGTCCATTTCTGGTGTAGATATAAAATTTGGCAACCTATTCAAAAATCCCTTATGCATTACCTAGTCAAGTTGAACAAGTGCATACCCTAACTTGAGGCAATTCTACTTTTAGGTGTGTATCTCAGAGAAACGCTCACTTATGTGTGTTAGATTGGTACTTCCCAAACAGTAATGAACGTACAAATGACTCCAGGATCTTGTTAAAATGCAGGCCATGATCCAGTAGGTCTGGAATGAGGCCTGAGATTCCGCATTTCTAACAAGTTCCCAGGTGCTAGTGCTGCTGGCCCTTGGACCACACTTTGAGTAGCAAGGCCCTATGGTTGCAAATACATGCATTGGCAGCAGAATGAGCAAACTATTCATACAATGGAATGCCTCTGAGCATTGACAGTGCAAGAACTAACGATTCTTGTTTGAACATGGGAGTCTCAAAAACATGTTTAGAGAAAGAAGAAAGTCACAGATGAATTCACTGATGTTTTTTACTTACTGAATGATTTTATAATGCAGTTAGTTATTATTTCTTATTTTGTTAATCCTTACCTGAGAATATTTTTTTTCTACTGATATTTAGAGAGAGTAGAAGGGTGATGTGTGTGTGTGGGGGGGCAGAGAGTAAAAGGAGGGAGAAAGAGAGAGAGAGAGAGAATATCATTGTGAGATAGACAAATAGATTGGTTGCCTCCTGCACGCACCCCAACTGGGCTGGCTTTGAACCTGCAACCAAGGCATGTGTCCTTGACTGGGAATGGAACCTAAGACCCTTCCTTGACTGTCAAAGGCTCTAACCATTGAGCAACATCAGCAGGGCTAATTATTTTTTCTTGTACAAGGTTTCCCTTCTTAGCTATATTCATTCACTTTCATGTTACAATGGGTCAGAATAGCTATCCAACACAGAGTCCTTTTGTAATATCTACCGTATTAAAGCATAATATGCTAATTAGACCAGATGTCCTTCCAGGTGTGTTTCTGGACGCCCTTCCAGATGAAGCCAAAGCTGGAGGGAAGCCCAGATCCTGGTTGCCTGCCGGCAGCCAGAGCAAATTCTGGGTCCTAGGTGCCAAAGGGAAGCTGGTGCTGGCAGCCAGGGGAAGGAAGGCCTACTCTTGCATGGATTTTTTGCACCAGGCCTCTAGTAACGTACATAACAGAAATAAAAAGAGTCTTGTAGTCTGAAAAAACAGAGTCAAACCCCAATGCTATCTTTTAGTGGCTTTGTATTTCTGTCCAAATTCCTTAATCTATCCAAGCTTACATTTCCACATTTATAAAATGAAGATAATAATACTTACATTAGTGTGGTTATTGTGATAAACTGAGAGATGTAATTTACATAAAATAGAAGCAGTGTATGTTCAAATAGTGGTTGTGATTGTTATTGCTTGTTTTTCAATATAAGTTTGGCAGCATATTTGAGAATATCTTTTTTTAAAAAATAGTTTTTATTTATTTTTTTACAGAGAGGAAGGCAGAGGGATAGAGAGTGAGAAGCATCGATCAGCTGCCTCCTGCACACCTCCTACTGGGAATGTGCCTGCAACCAAGGTACATGCCCTGGCCAGAATCGAACCTGGAACCCTTCAGTCCGCAGGCTGACGCTCTATCCACTGTGCCAAACCAGCTAGGGCTTGAGAATATCTTTTTTAAAAATATATATTTTTATTGATTTCAGAGAAGAAGAGAGATGAAGAGAGAGATAGAAACATCAATGATGAGAGAATCATTGATTGACTTCCTCCTGCATGCCCCCTTCTGGGGATCGAGCCCACAACCAGGGCCTGCGCCCTTGACCAGAATTGAACCTGGGACCCTTCAGTCCACAGCCCAGTGCTCTATCCACGGAGCCAAACTAGCTAGGGCTATTTGAGAATATCTTGATTGGTGAAAGAAAGCTTATATGGAAACTGTAATGTACATAACCCATTTGTTAATTTTGTTAATTAAGATTTAAAGCTTAATTCTCTTAGGAAGTATAATAACCTTTGTATTCAATATTGCATTACTTACATAACTCTATGATACCACATGAAGCAAGTATTAGAACTGCCCACAAATAAATAGCGTTCTTCTTCTAAATCCTAAAAGAAATTGCAAAAGCAACTATGACATATGAAGGTAACTTAAAAAAATAATTTAATACAGGGATCAAAGTCACAGAGGAACTAAGTTAATTATGTAAGATTAGAGGAAGTATAATGAATAAATTTCAGAATAAAACTAATAAGTCCAATTCTTTAGTTACTCTCTGCAATTGAGGATTTACTATCATGGGTGGCGACAAATTTAGATAGCTTATTATTTCTATTATATTTGACTTTGTGTAATAATAAGAAATATATGTCTTTGCCCCCAATTCCTGAGTCTTTGACCGTGATTCCCAACACAGAGCTCCCTAAACGCCTGTCATGTCCCGAGTGATCGGAGTGTCTGATGCGGAGCTCCTACAATTTTCCCCACTGAAACACAATTCAGTGAATTTTCTTGTTTCATGGTTACCAACCAGAGGTGATTTTGCTCACCAGGGGACATTTGGCAATGCCTGGAAATATTTTTGGTTGTTTCTGAGTGAATTTCAAAAGTCACATGTCCCTCCTTAAAGGTTGTAAAATCTGATGACACTATACCTAAATGACAAAGGTAGTCCTATGTAGGCATGTATTTGTGTGTGCTTATTTTTTCACATAACATGTTTCATAATGTTTCCATGGGTTTCCAACATACAAAAGAAGGGAAAGGAACCCGGCTGGCATGGCTCAGTGGCTGAGAATTGATCTATGAACCAGGAGGTCATGGTTCGAGTCCCGGTCATTTCACATGCCTGGGTTGGGGGCTTTTTCCCCAGTGGGAGGCGTGCAGGAGGGAGCTGATCAACGATTCTCTCTCATTATTGGTGTTTCTCTCTCTCTCGCTCCCTCTCCCTTCCTCTCTGAAATCAATAAAAAGATATTTTTAAAAAAACAATAAAAGATGAGGGAATCCTGTACTTCCTTGGGAATTATGTTCATGAAACTTGAAAAAATCATAAACTCAAAAGCCAAATTCCAATATGTTTCCATCTAAAGGGGTTAAAAAATGAATTAATATTCATCTGGCCTCTCTCAAATCACTCTACTTGTTTCATGAAAATGAAGATTGTTAATTAAAAAGAAGGCACAGCCTAACCGGTTTGGCTCAGTGGATAGAGCATCGGCCTGGGGTCTGAAGGGTCCCAGGTTCGATTCCAGTCAAGGGCATGTACCTTGGTTGCGGGCACATCCCCAGTAGGGGGTGTGCAGGAGGCAGCTGATTGATGTTTCTCTCTCATCGATGTTTCTAACTTTCTATCACTTTCCCATCCTCTCTGTAAAAAAAATAAAATAAAATGAAAATAAAAAGGAGACACAGGCCCCAAAGTAAAGGCAGGATTAGTCACACAGAGTCTCTGTAGCAGTGGCTTTACACATTTGTGTGAAAACTTAAGCTGTGAGGTGTGGGTCCAGTATTTTGTTACTAATTGATAAAGTGCCAATATTTTAAAATGCTTGCCCTGGCTGGTTTGACTCAGTGGTAGAGTGTCGGCCTGGGTACTGAAGGATCCCGGGTTCGATTCCTGTCAAGGGCACATGCCTGGGTTGCGGGCTTGGAGGCAGCCGATTAATGATTCTCATCAGTTTCAATCTCTCTCTCCCTCTTCCTTCCTCTATGAAGTCAATTAAAGAAATATTAGAATGCTTTACTTTTTTGGTAAACCTGAAAGGATTTATTTATTTGCATTCACATATGTTTTCTTGAAAAAACAAACAAACAACCGAGTAAAAACAAATCTAGAAATGGCTCTTCATCCTGGGCATTGTCATAGGAGTATATGACGTGAGCCCTCTCAGCCGTGAGTACTGTTATCATTTACAATGGTAACTGAGGCTTTAACATGCTGATAAAAAGGCTACGTGAAAATCACATACCATTCCATCACTTATAACTTGCAAAGACACATCTAAAAAGTAATGACATTTTAACAGTAACTTAAAAATACCTCTCATTTACAGTTACAACTTATACTATTTAAAACGGTTGAATTAGGTTGAAAGCTCAAAAAAAAGGAAAAATGAACTGGATTTTTCAAGTTTCATAATTCAGATCAACTCACTGGCCCTGTAACAATTGGTCTTATAGTCTGAATGCCCGGAGAAGAACAGCGCAGCTCTGTCTTAGGCGAACTAGCAGTTAAAGAGAACAAGAAGAGAGAAATAAATAAAGATGCATACGAAATTAATCAAATGTTTTCTACTCTTCTTTAAGCCTAAAAACTTCAATAAGAAAAGGAAAAATACAGCAATATTTGACTTCATTTTCAAACTGATTTTGTTTTTCCTTTCACATCTATTTAATGAGAAGAAATTCACATTAAATCAGAGCCTTGAGTCTGAATTCATGCTATGTGAGTGAATGTTTTGTTACGTGTAAATACACATACATTGACATTCACGACAAAAATATTACCGTTTATTTTTCAGAGAACAAGTTCCTGGCACACTCCACTCAGAAAATAATGTTCCTTCGTACTCTAATGTAATCTAAAAAAAGAAGATAAAATAGTTCAAACAAAAACTTTGCTCCAAAATTTTCATCTCATTGTTCAGATGTACGATTTAATTTTCTGGGTCTTCATTAAAGGAACTAGAGGCCCAGTCCACGAAATTCGTGCATTTGGGGTTGGAGGGGCCCTTCAGCATGGCCTGCGCCCAGTCCAGGAGCCCTCAGGGGATCTCCAACTGATGGCTTAGGATTGGACCTGTCAGTTGGACATCCTCAGCGCTGCCGCGGAAGCGGGAGAGGCTCCTGCCACCATTGCTGCACTCGTCAGCCATGAGCCCAGCTTCTGGCTGAGCGGCGCTCACCCTGTGGGAGCGCACTGACCACCAGGGGGCAGCTCCTGCATTGAGTATCTGTCCCCTGGTGGTCAGCGTGCGTCATAGCGACCTGTCATTCTGCAGTTTGATCAATTTGCATATTAGCCTTTTATTATATAGGATAATAATTAAAATTTGATGTATTTGAAATTTTACAAAGTAATACAATGAAGGAAAAGTAACTTTTCTGGGACACTTCAGTAGTTTCCCCACCAAATAATATTTTTTTTTATTTCAAAAATAATATATTAAGTATCTAGGAAGTACTCTAGTAGGTTCTGAGGATTAAAATAAGAAGATAAATGAGACAGGGTCATCCTATCTGTATCATGACATTGTATTTTGAATATTAATCGCAAAACACTCGGACAAACACCACTTTTTTTGCAACTTACATATTTAAGGACTATTGTTAGAGAAGGAGATCTATCTTAGGAAGATAAATGAAATGAATATGAAATAAAAATAAAAGAATGACACTGTACTACACAACTGAGTATGATTAACTCTGCCCTAAGGTGAAAAACAACAACAACACACAAACAAAAATACTTAACTATAGTTTTAAAAAGTTAAACACTTACAGTACTTCTGGTACTAAAAATGCGGTAGTTTCGGCTGCTAGCGTAGTATCTGTGGAGGAAAAGGTCAAATAAGAATATGAAAATTAATTTCTCCTCCAAGGAAGAGGGATTCTATGCATGATCAGAGCATGCCTGGGCTGCCAAGAGCTTTACATTTCTGCCCACACATCTTCCTGGAGAGCAGAGTCAGGGCTAAAACTCAGGATTATCCGTGAACTCTACCCACCACTCAAGAATCGTTAGGGTTTGCTAAGTATCCAAAGACAGTAGAATGACAAGTACAGATGCTTCTTGACTTACAATGGCGTTAAATGACAATAAACCCCTTGTAAATTGAAAATATTGTCATTTGAAAATGCATTTAATACCCCTAGCCTACCAAACATCACAGCTCAGCATAATCTATCTTAAACGTGCTCAGCACACTGACATTAGCCTATATTTGGACAAAATTATTTAACATAAAGCCTATTTTATAATGAAGTGTTGAAAAATCTCATGTAGTTTACATTGCACATGGCTTTTCCATCACCACCACGTCAAAAAATCATTAAGTGGAACTATCGTATGTTGGGAACTGTCTGTAAATACTTTTCCATATTTTTTTATTTACTTATTTACCTTTAATACTAGAAGCCCAGTGCATGAAATTCGTGCACGGGTGGGGTCCCTAGAGACTGCCAGCTGGGGCCTCCCTTCCATCCGCTGGTGGTCGGAGCATGTCATAGCAAGCGATTGAATTCCTGGTCAGTGGAACTCCTAAGGACACTTTGCATATTAGGTAGGCATATATATACATGTGTGTTGTGTATATACATATGTGTGTATATATATATATACATATACACACACACACACACACATCCCTATATATATATAGATATATGATATTTTCATTGATTTCAGAGAGGAAGGGAGAGGGAGAGATAGAAACACAATGATGAGAGAGAATCATCGATCAGCTGCCTCCTACACGCCCCCTATTGGGGATCCAGTCCGCAACCTAGGCACATGTCCTTGACTGAGTTGAACCTGGGACCCTTCAGTTTGCAGGCTGATGCTCTAGCCACTGAGCAAAACCAGGTAGGGCTGTTTTTGTTTTAGGATGAAAACTGTTAAAGAATATTGGCTGTATTACCTTCACTTATAAACTGAGCATTAAAATAATGAAAAAAGATTAAAAACCCATAAAACAATATTGCTTGTTTGAAACACCGAGTAAAGAGCAAATTTCTGTGAGTCCTTGTTCATTTTCATTTCTATTATTCAGGGACCTTGAATCTATCTAAAGCAGCATTGTCCAACATAAATATAATGCAAGCCACTTATGTAATTTAAAAATTTATAGTGGCCGAATTAAAAAAGCAAGAATAAACAAGTGAAATTATTTTATTTTTTTAAATTAAATCTTTATTTACAAATCTTTATCAGATTATTACAGTTGTTCCTCTTTCCCCCCAACCATAGCTCTACTCCACTCAGTTCCCACCCAACCCTCTGCCCTTACCCCTACCACTGTCCTCATCCATAGATGTACAATTTTTGTCCATTCTCTTCCTGCACCCCCACACCCCTTTCCCCCCAAGAATTGACAGTCCACTCCCTTTCTATGCCCCTGGTTCTATTATATACACCAGTTTACTCAGTTCATCAGATTTTTTATTCACTTAATTTTTAGATTGACTTGTTGATAGATATGTATTTGCTGTTCATAATTTTTATCTTTACCTTTTTCTTCTTCCTCTTCTTAAAGAATACCTTTCAGCATTTCATATACAGTGGGGCCTTGACTTACGAGTTTAATTCGTTCGGAGACCGGGCTCATTCAGGGACTTGTTAACTCAAATTACTCTATCAACTCAATGCAAAAAATCGGCCGAGAGACAGCTGGTATCTCAAAAAACTCATTAGTTGGGACACTCATAAGTCAAGGCCCCAGTGTAATACTGGTTTGGTGGTGATGAACGCCTTTAGCTTTTTCTTGTCTGTGAAGCTCTTTATCTGACCTTCAATTCTGAATGATAGCTTTGCTGGATAAAGTAATCTTGGTTGTGGCATTCATCACTTTGAATATTTCTTGCCACTCCCTTCTGGCCTGCATAGTTTCTGTGGAGAAATCAGCTGACAGTCGTATGGGTACTCCCTTGTAGGTAACTGTTTTTCTCTTGCTGCTTTTAAGATTCTCTCTTTGTCTTTTGCCCTTTGCATTTTAATTATGATGTGTCTTGGTGTGGTCCTCTTTGGATTCCTTTTGTTTGGGGTTCTCTGTGCATCCTGGACTTGTAAGTCTATTTCTTTCACCAGGTAGGGGAAGTTTTCTGTCATTATTTCTTCAAATAGGTTTTCAATATGTTGTTCTCTCTTCTTCTGGCACCCCTATAATTCGGATGTTGGTGCACTTGAAGTTGTCCCAGAGGCTCCTTACACTATCTTCGTATTTTTGGATTCTTTTTTCGTTTTGCTTTTCTGGTTGGGTATTTTTAGCTTCTTCGTATTTCAAATCTTTGACTTGATTCCTGGGATCCTCTTGTCTACTGCTGGTTCTCTGTATATTATTCTTTATTTCAGTCAGTGTATGCTTAATTTCTAGTTGGTCTTTTTTCATATCCTCCAGGGTCTCACTAAATTTATTGGCAGTTTCTAGAAAATTCTTGAAAAACCTTTTAACCACGGTTTTGAACTCTATATCCAGTAGTTTGTTTTCCTCCATTTCTGTCATTTGTGACCTGTTTCTTTGTTTCCGGATTTTTTATGTTTCCCTGTGTTGGTAAAGTGGCTTTGTGTGCTAGGTGTCCAATAGGGCCCATTGGCTCAGCCTCCCCGATTACCTGAGGTGGACACTCTTGGTGCAGCCCTTGTGGGCTTTGTGCACAGTCTTGTTGTAATTAAGTCTTGAGTGTTGTAGGTATCACTGGGAGGAAATGACCTCCAGGCCAATTGGCTGTGAGAATCAGCTGTGTCTACGGTGGGAGATCCTCTGTGCTGAAGACACCCTTATGGGGCAAGACTTGCTTCAGTGGGGCTTTGGTGCTCACTGAGTCTCCCCCCTGAGTGTGTCCCTTATGGATCTGAGGAGTTGTAATCTAGATGGTCCCATTCTGATCACTGGGTACACTGGCTCTTGGATCTAAGGAGGTGCTAATTTAGCCTCTGCCTGAGGCTACCCAGCAGGAGCTATGAAGAGATCTGCAGATTCCCCTTCCTTGTTTGGGGTTTGGAGGTGTCCATATAAGACCCAGCTTTGAAGCAATGCAAGCTGCTGTGGGCCTTAGGCCTTCTCTTGGAAGTTCTGCGTCTGTCTGGCCAAGCTGCAGTTTGTTAGGAAATTTTCAGATTGCAAAGGGCCAGGCATTCATATGCAAAAGCCTCTGCTCAGCTTGGGTGGGGTGGGGTCTCAGGGAATCAACAGGGTGGAGCAAACAGCTAGTTCTGGATGATGTCCATTTTGTCTTTTAGTTGTATTTTTGAAGTTGTTGTGGAGGCAGCAATTTCCAGTGTTTACCTATGCCGCCATCTTGGTTTCCATTCGGTTGATCCTGTTATATTTTATTTTTTTAATTTGAAAAATTTTTAAATTCTCACCTGAGGATATTTTTCCATTGATTTTTTAGAGAGAGTGGAAGTGGAAAAGAGAGAATTTTCCACTGATTTTTCGTAGAGAATGGAAGAGAAAAGGAAAGACAGAGGGAAATATCGATGTGAGAGAAACACATCCATTTGTTTCCTCCTGCACGCACCCCAACTAGGGTCTGGTCACGGGAGGAGCCTGCAACCAAGGTACGTGCCCTTGACCGAAATGGAACTTGTGACCCTTCAGTTCGCAGGCCAAAGCTCTATCCACTGAGCCAAACAGGCTAGGGCAAGTGAAAAGATCTTACAAAAGATCTTCATTTGGACTAGTCATATTTCAACTTCTCAAAAGTCACATGTGGCCAGTGGCTCTCATAAAGCATTTTTTTTTTAATTTAAATTTCAGTATACTTTTAATATTATTTTGTATTCAGCTGTACAGCATAGCGGTTAGACAATCCTATACTTTACAAAGTGCTCCCCCTGATAGTTAAAGTGCCCACTCGGCACCATACGTGGTCATCACAATATGATGGACTCTATTCCCTATGCTGTACTCTACATCCCCATGACTACTTTGTGACTGCCATTCTGTACTTCGTAATCCCTTCACCTCTTTCCCCCAGACCCCAATCTCTCTCCCCTCGGGTAACCACCAGTCTGCTCTCTGTATCTATGAGTCTGTTTCAATTTTTGTTTGTTCATTTATTTTCTTTAGATTCCACATGTAAGTGGAATCATATGGTATTTGGCCCTAGCCAGTTTGGTTCAGTGGATAGAGCATCGGTCTGCAGACTGAAGGGTCCTGGGTTCGATTCTGGTCAAGGGCACATGCCCAGGTTGCGGGCTCCATCCCCAGCTGGGGGCGTGCAGGAGGCAGCCGATCAATGACTCTCTCTCATTAGTGATGTTTCTGTCTCTCCCTCTCCCTTCTTCTCTGAAATCAATAAAAATATATGTATGTTTTAAAAAAGAAATCATATGGTATTTGTCTTTCTCTGGCTGACTTATTTCACTTTGCATAATACCCTCTAGGTCAAGCATGTCAAACTCGTGGCCTGCGGACCACAAGGAATATTTTTGCGGCCCACTCGATACAATGGTAAGAAACATTTTAGTAAAAATTTCATAACTTTTTACAATATCCTGTTATACATCATTATTAAGGATGAACTACAATGTTCGCTAATGACTGCTGACTAAAATCCTGTTACATTCATTTCCTTTACACGCCTTATGCGTAGGTGCACCATTTCTCTCCACTAATACCAGCAGCGAATATTTTTAGCAGCCGATGGCCACCTCATTAGTCTTGGACTGACTTGTCTGATGTGTGCAACAGGAAATATTTTGCTTTTGGAGAACAACAAAAATAGGTTTATTTGCATTAGGCTCATTAGTTTGTGCCGTTATTCAGTGTCTGGTAAGTTAACGTTGAAGAAAATATAATTTTTATTAAAATGTCTTATTATTTTGTTAACGATGACTCAGGTATTTCGGCCCCTTGTATTCCGCATGTCTCTATCGAAATAAACCCACCTTTCTATGAAAAGGGAAGCTGTTGTGTTTTGGGGGCCACAGCCACTCACACCTTGTTTACCTGGCCCGCTCAGCCTTCGAGTTTGACATGCTTGCTCCAGGTCCATCCCCGCTGTAGTAAATGGTAAGATTCCCTTTTTCATGCCGAGAATATTCCACCGCGTGTCTGTACCACGGCTTTTGCACCCACCCCAGGAGATGCGTTTTTCTCACCTTCTCACAGAGAAAACAAAGGCTCACACGCGTGTTCGACTAGAATGCCCCCCGTTCGCTTTCTCATGACTTCACTGACCTCTGCAATGGCCCCTCTTATTATTTGCCCCCCTCAACGCCCCCTCCCCAGTGAGATGCCTGGGTCCCCCCCATGGCCACCTCCGTGATGGTTTGGCTGCTCGCTGGTGTTCTTACGCTGTGAACGTGGGAGAGCAGGAATTACTGTCAGGGCAGAACCTCCATGGAACAGGAGATTCGCAGGGCGTGCTTCTTCCTGGTTAACCCCCGAATTTAACCTGCGGTGAAAACCTTTCTAGGGTATTTTAATACACGTCCTTCAACCATTCCCGACCTAGTTAGCCTAGTGCAGCGGTTCTCAACCTGTGGGTCGCCACCCCTTTAACGGTTAAACGAAAAGGGTCGCTGAAGACCATCCTGCATATCAGACATTTACATGACGATTCATAACAGCAGCAACGTCACAGTGATGAAGTAGCAACGAAAATAATGTTATGGTTGGGTCACCACCTGAGGAACTGTATTGAAAGGGCCAGAAGGTTGAGAACCGCTGTGTGAATTCCCCGCCACCATCCCCAATCTCTGTGGCAAATTTTGAATTTTTGCTCCTCTCCTCTCGGGTAAAAGCAGAGTCTCCGGATTCCTGGGGGCTCAGCGACGTGAAGTTACCGAGACTCCAGGGCAGCCCAGTCCCAACAGCGCCCCCTCATCTCGCGCCCGGAGGCACCGGAAACGTCCGGCAGGGGCGGTGGGGCGCTGGTACCCGGGGGAGGGGGGAGCGGGGAGCTGAGGGCCCGGACGGTGGCCGTGGACTCTGAGGCGCTGGGAGGGGGACCCCTGCGAGGCCCCGGGAGCCCCGTCCTCCACTGGCGTCTCTACCTCCACACAGCCGAGCCGCAGCAGCTCAGACAGGACAGCAGCACCGCCACTGCCCCGGCGGACATGGCGCCCGGACGCTCCGCGAAACCGTGCCTCCTCGCCTGTTAAGCCCACAGGCCTACCCGCCAAGTGCGCATGCGCGGGAGCGTGCGTGAGCTCGTGCGTGTGCGTGAGCTCGTGCGTGTGCGCGTGCGCGTCAGCGACTGGGCGTCAGATTGGAACCCGCAGTGGAAAATCAAAAGCAGGGCGGGTAGAGGTTCGGAGGAAGAGGGGGACAGGGAGAAAATGGGAACGATCTGTCACACTACCGACAAGGACAAATAAAATAAAATCCAAACCAGGTTTTCGGAAAGGCAGAGCCGTGCTTTTTTGGAGTGGAATAGCAAAACCACCTCGGAAAACCCGGGGTGAATGAAGATAGAACTTCCCAGTTAGTGTTTCTTTCAAACCAGTGGTTCTCAACCTTGGCTGCACATTAGAATCACCTGGGAATCTTTTCAAAATCCTGATTTCTGGGTCTCGTCCTCCGGAAATTTTGTTTCTTTGTTATGAGGCCGAGGCCCAGAAATCAGGATTTTAAAAAGATTCCCAGGTGATTCTAATGTGTAGCCAAGGTTGAGAACCACTGTTTTACACCAAATCTTCCTATAACGACTGCAATAACCAATAGGCACCTGGCGGTGCATAACAGGTGCAGGCACTCTGTAAGTGATTTTTCCATTGAACAGAAATGAGCAATAACAGGTGTTTATTGAGCGCCAACTGCATGACCAACGCTGTCTCCTGCTCTTGAGTAAAATAAAATAAAATAAAATAAAATAAATAAAATAAAATAAAATAATAAAATAAAATAAAATGAAGCGTTCTGGTTTACAAAGGGGCTTGTAATCTTGTGGTAAAAACAAGATAAACACCAAAATTTATCACGCAGTAGTATAATCCATCTGTTTACTTGTCGGTAGACCAAATACTGTGCATCCTGAAGGGCTGCAATTGTATCTTTATTCCTCCTTATGTCCTCAGTGCCTAGCACTACCTTAACTTATGTAGGTTCTCCGTGTTTACTGATTCTGACTTAATGAATCGTTGAATAAAAATTATAAAATATGCTCTGGGAGCCATTACAGAACATGATTGCATACATATGACTTGGGACACACACACACACACACACACACACTTAATTTTTTTTTATTTGGGAGACACTACATTTAATGTGATTCTATGCACACCTTTTCCCCGAAACAACTTTATTTAAAATATCTTTTTCTTGATTTCAGAGAGGGAGAGAGACAGAGGGCGATAGAAACATAAATGATGAGAGAGAATCATTGATCAGCTGGCTTCTGCATGCCCACACTGAGGATCATCCAGCTGCAACCCAGGCATGTGGCCTAACCAGGAATCGAACCCTGACTGTCTGGTTTACAGGTCGATGCTCAACCACTGAGCCATGCCTGCTGGGCCCAAGCAACTTTATGTCAGAATCCTATGTCATAGTTAATTTGTGTTGCAGGTGGAAGATATTCCGCAGGAGATATATACTCTGGAATCTAGTAACGCCTGAAACACTAATAGGAGTGGAATATACACATAAGGGCTGGACTGTGGACTCAGGCTGCTTAGATAGCAATTAAGCCCTTAGTTAGAACAAGTTAACTTTCAAATCCTGTAAAATATGGATAAGATAGTATCACCTACCTCGGATGGTTGTGGGAATTAAAGGAGCTAAGTGCATCATAGTATCTGGCATATACTATCTGACATCGGTAATACACTCCTCCTCCCTGAGCCTGTGTTACTAAAGTGTAAAATGAGAAGGGCTAGGACTCTACTTGATCCCCAGATTTTCAGGTCTAACATTCTCTAACTTATTGCTTTACTTTTGAGTTGGCCCTATTCCATCCCTGTCCCCATCTCTGTTCTTACCCCTAGTCCTCTACTTTCCAATTCGAAACCTGTATGTTCTCATTCCAACCCATTTATATTATGAAGCTCCACCCTTTTTGTTTTGCACACAATCTCATCCCTTAATAAAAACAAGTCATTAAAAAATAATTTTTTCCCCTCACTGTGCAACCCGCTTCAGTGCCTGCCGCCTACGGGCAGGAGCCAGGCAATGGTTCAAGGCCACAGTTGCTCTGGCATGAGGCACTGTGAGAGACTCAGGTGGTCGGGCGTGCCATAAATGCAAACCCATGAATTAAAAAATAATTTAAAATTGAATGTGGAGAACCAAGATGGCGGCATAGGTTAACGCCGGAGTTTGCTGCTTTGAACAACTACTTCAAAAGTGAAACCAAAAAACGGAAGGGACATCACCCAGAACCACAGGAACGCTGGCTGAGTGGAAGTCCTACAACTAGGAGGAAAGAGAAACGCATACGGACACTCAGAGGAGGCGCAGTGCTGAAGTCAAATTCTGAGGTGCGGAGTGCGCGAGCGGGCTGGCGGCGGAGGGCGCAGTTGGCATTTTCAATCGGGAGGGAGTCGCAGACTCTGAGCTCCAGATCCGGGCGAGTCTTTAGGGACCCAGACTCAAACGGGAGAAGCGGGGCTGTCTGGCTTCGGTCAGAGCGAGTGCAGCTTTCTCTCTGAGCTTTGCAGCGGGTGCTGGGACTCAGAGAGCCAGAGCCCCTGGGGACGGGACTGAGAGCCGCCATAACTGCTCTCTCCGGCCCACCCTGTTGATCCTGTGCGACCCGCCCCACCCAAGCCCTGCACACAGGCATTTGCCGGATAGCCTCAGGCAAAGGCTAGATTAGCACCTCCCTAGAGGACAGAAGTTCTCTCACTGCTGACACAGCTGATTCTCATAGCCACTTGGCCTGGAGGTCAAACCCTCCCTGGAATTAGCTACAACAATCAAGATTTAACTATAAGACTGCGCACAAAGACCACTAGGGGGTGCACCAAGGAAGCATAACAAAATGCGGAGACAAAGAAACAGGACAAAATTGTCAATGGAAGATATAGAGTTCAGAACCACACTTTTAAGGTCTCTCAAGAACTGTTTAGAAGCCGTCGATAAACTTAATGAGATCTACAAGAAAACTAATGAGACCCTCGATCTTATATTGGGGAACCAACTAGAAATTAAGCATACACGGACTGAAATAACGAATATACAGACTCCCGACAGCAGACCAGAGGAGCGCAAGAATCAAGTCAATGATTTGAAATGCGAGGAAGCAAAAAACACCCAACCGGAAAAGCAAAATGAAAAAAGAATCCAAAAATGTGAGGATAGTGTAAGGAGCCTCTGGGACAGCTTCAAGCGTACCAACATCAGAATTATAGGGGTGCCAGAAGATGAGAGAGAGCAAGATATTGAAAACCTATTTGAAGAAATAATGACAGAAAACTTCCCCCACCTGGTGAAAGAAATGGACTTACAGGTCCAAGAAGCCCGGAGAACCCCAAACAAAAGGAATCCAAAGAGGACCACACCAAGACACATCATAATTAAAATGCCAAGAGCAAAAGATAAAGAGAGAATCTTAAAAACAGCAAGAGAAAGAAACTCAGTTACCTACAAGGGAATACCCATACGACTGTCAGCTGATTTCTCAACAGAAACTTTGCAGGCCAGAAGGGAGTGGCAAGAAATATTCAAAGTGATGAATACCAAGAACCTACAACCAAGATTACTTTATCCAGCAAAGCTATCATTCAGAATTGAAGGTCAGATAAAGAGCTTCACAGATAAGGAAAAGCTAAAGGAGTTCATCACCACCAAACCAGGATTATATGAAATGCTGAAAGGTATCCTTTAAGAAGAGGAAGAGGAAGAAAAAGGTAAAGATACAAATTATGAACAACAAATATGCATCTATCAACAAGTGAATCTAAGAATCAAGTGAATAAATAATCTGATGAACAGAATGAACTGTTGATTATAATAGAATCAGGGACATAGAAAGGGAATGGACTGACTATTCCTGGGGGGGAAAGGGGTGTGGGAGATGCGGGAAGAGACTGGACAAAAATCGTGCACCTATGGATGAGGACAGTGGGTGGGGAGTGAGGGTGGAGGGTGGGGTGGGAACTGGGAGGAGGGGAGATATGGGGGGAAAAAAAAGAGGAACAAATGTAATAATCTGAACAATAAAGATTTAATTAAAAAAAAAAAAAGAATATGGCAAAAAAAAAAATAAAATAAAATAAAATTGAATGTTTTCAGAGACGGAAACCTACCCAGGGCAGACACTCCGGTACCAGCATAGATCCTTTCAGCTCAGAGCGTTGCATGCCGGGAGTTGTAGTCCGACGCTGGAGCACGTACCTCCGTGCCCTCCAGTTTGAAAAGCAGGAGCCAGGGAGGGTAGGCGGGGCGTTGAGGCTGGCGCGCGCTCTAAGCCCCGCCCCTGCCGCTTCCGGTCTCGGGTTGGCCGGAGAATGGCGCGCCCGGCCCTGGAAGGGGCGTGGCTTCGATTCCGGGCAACGGCGGTTGCGGCCAGCAGGGCCTCTCCCTCCAGGCGGAGCTGCCGCGGCCGGCCTGAGCGGGGCAGTCACGGTCCCCCCTTGAGCGGGCCGTGGCGGGCAGCGGGGTGTGTCCTGGGCGGAGGCGGCGGCCCGGAGGGGGCGGGGCCGGGGCGGGGCCGCCGCTGGCTGCCGCTTCCTCTGCATGTGGCTCCGGGCGGCAGAGCAGTTCCGTTCGCGCACTCGCTGCGGTCCGCTTCTCCCCCGGGCTCTCCTCGCGTCGCTGGAGCCATGGCGTTGGCCGAGACCCACCCGGCAGCATCCTCCCTGCCCAACGGCGACTGCGGCCGGCCCCGGGCGCGGCCCGGAGGGAACCGGGTGACGGTGGTGCTCGGCGCGCAGTGGGGCGACGAAGGCAAAGGGAAGGTGGTGGATCTGCTGGCGCAGGACGCGGACATCGTGTGCCGCTGCCAGGTGAGGCGCCCCGGCTCCGACGGGCAGCCGGGCCCGGGAGGTCGGGCCCGCCACCTGGAGCCTGTCTCCAAAACCGGGTGTCACCTTGAGCTCCCCTCCTCTCGCCGTGAGCTGCGGCGCCCTGGAGACATGGCGGGAGGTCCGAGACCCCCGGACCTCGGGTCCGGGTTGGGGTGGCTCTGGAGGAACGTGCGGTTTTGCCGGGAGCCGCGGAAAGATGCGCGA